GCCGATCCTCCCCCACCTCCTCCTCCTTCCTCCTCCTCCTCGTCCTCCTCCTCCTCCTCGTCCTCCTCCTCCTCCCCCTCCTCCTCCTCCTCCTCCCTCCTCCTCCCCCCTCCTCCCCCCCCCCTCCCTCGGGGCCCTCGTCCGCGCGCGCTCCCTCCGAATCGCCGGCAGCCGTCGGCGGGCCCTCGGGGCCCCCGTCCGCGCCAGCGGCCCTCGGCGGGATCTTGGCGCCTGTGAGGCCAACCGCCCTCACCTGGATCAGAGGGGGCGCCAGGCTGCGGCGTGCCCGCAGCTTGGCGACGCGGGCGTCGTCAAACTCCGCTGCCTTTTTCAACTCCGCGGCGGGGCGGGGCACTTGTTTCAAAGGGGCGCGGGCGTCGCTGACAAGCCACCGATTCGGGCAGCGCCGAGGCGCCATGAGGGAGCAAAGCGGCAACAACCTTGCCGCAGGCGCCCGTTTGGGCCTAGACGCGGGCTACCGTTGCGAAATAGCGTTTTCGCTGGTAAATCTCGGGCTCTGGCCCCAAATTGTCGGCAATGCATGGCAGGGCCAGTTAGGAAATTATATATATATATATATACACATAAAACCGAGCGGAACGGCACTTTTCAAAAGGAAGCCCAGCGAGCCAGCAAGTAGTCCAAAGAGGGGCGCCATGAGCGAGTTGCCCCAGGCGAAGACGAGGGCGGGGGCGGCGGGCGCGCCGCGGTAGCGGCTGAATCGGCCGCCAAGGTCAGTAGACGGGTCCGCTTCGAGCGGCGTGGCCCACACTAGTTGCCCGATCCTGCAGCTGGAGATCTCGAGCCGACCTGCTGGGGGCTTCAGCGTGAAAAAAGCCGCGTTTCGCATGCGCCAGCTTTTTCACCCATTGGATATCTGGCGCGACAGGCCTGACTGCCTGCAAGCGATCGGCGGCTGGTAGCGGGGCCGCGGGGCGAAGCCGTTCCGAGAGAGGTCGGCGAGCCGCTGTCGACAGTTCGGGGAGGTCTTTGCACTTCTCGTCGTTCTGGTCCATCCAGGCAAGCCATTCGGGGTTCGTTTGGGGATATATGCACCCCTCTTGTTGCTTACTGCGCTTGGCCACATCTCGCATCGACTTCGCCTTTGCCGTCAGTTCCTCCCTGCGCCCCTCGAAGTGCGCGCGAAGTGCTGGTAGATCGCCTTCATGCGTGAGCGCGCGTTGTTGGGTCAGTGGCGTCTCGGTCTCCCAGTGCGGCCTGCCTCTGGGGCGCGGCGTGAGATCTTTTTTTCCCCCCTGGACAGCCGAGCTCCATGCCGAAATTGTCGCCAACTTGGCGCGCGTCTTCTGCGCTGAGATGGCGTTCGATATGGCCGCGCCGTGCTGCGACCTGCACGCTCGGAGGATGTCGTTCATGGAGGCGCGGGCCAAGCTGGTGATCCTGAACCCCTTGCGGCCCTCTGCGCGCTTGGTCAGCCAGTGCTCCCGCTCGACGTCCAAGCTGGTGGCCTCGGACTCGTCGAATATGAGCTCCAACTCCTCCTGCGCCGCGGGAGACGCGATGTAATCATAAGCGTCGGCGGATGACCCCGTGGAAGCCGCCCGCTGCCGCAGCGGAAGGCTGTGACCGTTTCCAGGGTATCGTCGGGCGTTGCGAGCAGAAGCTCTTCGATTGTCTTCGGATGCAATAGAGGGTTCCCCCGACGCTTCAGTTTCCAGAGAGCACAAGGGGAATTGAAGAACACATCGAAACGCAAAAACAAATGCCCCGTTGTCAGGAGAATCCGGGGCACCGCGGCGTCGACGCTAAGATCCGCGTCGCAATCCAAAGACTGCAACATGCGAGAGACACCATCACTCCAGGCTCAACTTCTTGCCATGGCCCAACTGCGAAGCATCGACGCCGAAACGGGCCAGCGGCCCCTTTTGCTCCCGCGTTGCGAACTCTGTCTTCGGCACGACCCAATATGTCTTGTTCACTGTCTCCGAAATCTTCGCCCGCCTCTCCAGCTTGACTTTCCACCTTTGCATCGCGTCTGCCGTCGCATGTTTCTTCTTCGGCAGCTGGGGGCACGCGTGGTGCAACGCGCAGTGCAAGTTGATCATGTCGGGGCCCACGTGGAGGCACGAACCAACTGCACGACTCCAATCCTTCAGCCGGTCGCGAGCTTGCTTTTGCGCTCGCTCTGGTGGCTGGAGGTCCAGAGCCTTCGCCACGTCGCCGACATCGATCGCGGCCATGCCACTTACGATTGCGCAAGGCGCGCTGGATGCGCCACGTAATGACAACTTGAGCCTGAACGTTGCGGAACGACCTTCCGAGTTGCAGGGCGCCAGCGGCGAGGGGGAGCAGGGGGTGGCAGGAGAGGCAGCGGGGGGAGGCAGAAGGAGGAGGCAGCAGGAGAGGGCAGCAGGGGGAGGCATCACAGAGGAGGCAGGAGCAGGCAGCAGGAGGAGGGAGGCAGGAGCAGGCAGCAGGAGGAGCAGGCAGCAGGAGGAGAGGTGGAACCCGAGAAGGCCGAAGACAGCCCAAAGCTGGTCAAGAGGCAATTTAGAATGTTTCTGCTGCCTCGTCCTCTACTTCCTCCTCCTCCTCCTCCTCCTCCTCCTTCTCCTCCTCCACCTCCTCCTCCTCCTCCTCCCCGTCCTCCTCCTCCTCCATCCTCCCCCATCTTCCTCCTCCTCCTCCTCCTCCTCCTCCCCCTCCCCTTCCCCCTCCTCCTCCCCCTCCCCCTCCTCCTCCTCCTCCTCCTTGCCCTCCTCCTCCTCCTCCTCTTCCTCCTCCTCTTCCTCCTCCTCCTCCTCCTCCTCCTCCTCCTCCTCCCCCCCCCTCCTCCTCCTCCTCCCCCCCCTCCCCCTCCTCCTCCTCGCTCCTCCTCCTCCTCCTCCTCCTCCCCCTCGCCCCCCCCCCCTCCCTCGTCGGCGCTCGAAGCGAGTTTCGCCGCCGTCAGGGCGGCAGCGTGCTGCGGCGGCGTTCCCGTCCATGACATCGCCCTTCTCTCCGCAGCCTGCTTTTCTTAGCAAAGGCCTTGCGGCCGCCGCCGCCGACCCTGGCGGCCTTGGCCCTCGAGGGCGACAGGGTGGATGAGGGGAGGCCGGCGCTAGGCAGTGGGTTGAGGGGGGGAGGGGGCGGAGGGGGAGGGGGAGGAGGAGGAGGAGGAGGAGGAGGAGGAGGAGGAGGAGGGGGGGGAAGAGGAGGAGGAGGAGGAGGGGGTCGGAGAATGATGAAGTGAGTAAATCTTTGTCGGCTCTTGCAGGGCACATTTGCGCACTTTTGCGCACATTTGCCCACTCTGTGTTTGAAAGAAGGCTCCCATCACTTTCATGCTAATCATTATGTTGCATCGCACCTCACTTGCCGCTACCAACGCCACAGACAAACAGTAGGCCGATTGCAAGAGTTGGGCTGGCTGTATGGAATTCGGTGGTCAGCTGTTACGGGCACAGGTTGACTCATTCCCTCCATCTCCTGGTCCATACCCAAGATCACTCCCCGCCTCACTTAACGAGGCTGCAGCAACGTGTCACATATTGTGGCAGGCTGGTAGGCGCTAGTGCTTGTAAAGCTCGGTGGGTTATATGGCACAGGCAGTGCAAGTGTGGCATGATAACTGGTCGGGTACGGTAGGGGTCCTGACCTGAGTGTTATCTCGTTGCGGTCCGCCCGTGGACAGACACAGATGGGGACTACGTCGCGATGCTCTCGTGGAGAGGGAGAGGTCAGATCGGCGCACTGCTTGCAACCGTGAGGTTTGGGGCGATGCAGTAGAACAGCTTTCCAGAATGGGCTGTGGCGATCCGCCAGTGATATCCTCTTGCCATTTTACTGCGGCCCATCACAGCCCATGCAAGCGCCGCTCCTCCTCCCAGTCGCACCGCGGAAGTTCTGGAGGATAACGATCAGTAGGCATGCGTACGCATGTAAAGTGAGAACATGCAAAGGGTAAAGTCTGGTGTGAGGAATGTGTCTCATCACGCTTACCTCGCCGACCCCTGGGGGGATCGATTAAACCACATCTAGGTTGAAGCAGGTGAAAGCGCAATAAACGACACTCAGATCCACCCACCCATGGTGAAGGGTCAGGACTTTGTTGAAGTCTTGTGTTGAGGATGATTTGATGAGGCCGAGGGTGTCTGCTTGGTGAGTGCACGGCACGTGTGTAGTCTGTTGTGGGCCTTTGTCTGCAACAGTTTGACATGGTGCAAGTTTCGCTAGCGAGGTTGCCCAACGATTATTCGGCAAATTGCCACCTCCGCTTGGAATCTCCCAAGCAGATCAATGGTTGCGGCCTGCTCTGCGATTGTGATCAGCTGACGCTGCGCTTCTGGGAACTGGCGCTCCTCCCCCTCCTCCGCCTCCTCCCCCCTCTCCGCGTGCGCGCTACATTCGCTCTGAGCGTACACTGTCGTCGACCGCTCTGCCGAGTCTTTTTCGTTATCCTCCTCCCAGGGTTCATTTCGATTCCTCCGATCCGGTTATGTTTCGATGGCTCTCGATTCTCGCATTCGAGTCGATTTCGATTTCCGATTCGGACCCCGTTTTCTTAATGGAAGCCTGCCTGCCTGCCGATTCCGTGGATTCGACTTCTCTCGACTCGGCCGCAGACTTCCGCCGATACCACTCATGTCGATTCGATTCTGGGCTCTCCTGCCTCGGCAGCGCGGCGGTGCTCGCCCGGAGGGGGGAGTGCGGGAGTGCCCCGGGGCTTCGCGCCGCTGCCAGCCTCCCAGAGCCGCTTCTCGGGCACCGTGGGCCGTCGAGAGACGACTCGGGCGGGCCGGAGAGCTGTTCCCCGGGGGGAATCCGAGGGCCCAACCCACGCCAGTCTGGGGCGGCAAAGAGGGGGGTGATGATTAGGGGGGGTGGGTATCATGGCGGTGGCCATGATATTTCCCCAGATTTCATGGCGCCTCGTCTTATTTCAATACGTCCCTGGCCCCCACCCTGGGCCGCGCACATGCCGCCGGTCATGATTTGCACCCCCCCCCTCTTGGACACCCTCCTCTTGGCCGCCCCCGACCCACGCTAGGCTCCGCAGGATGGCGACGGGCCCCCTCTCCAGCAGCGTCGATGCCTGGGCCGAGATGGCGACAGGCGAGGGGAGGGGAAGGGAGGGATAGGGTACACTTTTTTGTTGCGCCGGCGGCTAGGCAGGGGACGTCTGCGCTGGCGACGGGAGGCCTAAACGGGGCCACCATGCCGTCAGAGTGCATTGTGCCACATGCAGGAAGGGGAACGGGGGAGGGCGCGGCCGCAAGAGGGGCGGATGGAGCGAGTGGCTCAGGGGGACGGGTCGCTCCAAGGGCGCCCTCGAGGGCGCGAAGTTGTTCGCGCTTCGCGGGTCGGCTCCAATTCTTCATCCTCCTCTTCTCCCCTGGGAGGCGGCGCGAGAGCGCGAAGTTATTCGCATTTCGCGCTTCGCGCAGCGCGAGGCGCGAAGCCCCTGTCGCTCGGGGAGAGGACACACACGCGGGGGGGGGCAGCCGCCGAGCCCAGGGGGTCCAGGACCCGCTTCCTTCGGGGCCATTTCCTTTCGTGGGAAGGTGCTACCAGTGGCGTGGACGTCGTTGGCGGCGGCTGCATCCTCGGCGTCGGCGTCGTTGGCGCCGCGGGCGTCGGCATCGGCGTCGTCGGACCGGGGAGGCTGGGCCGCTGGGCGGCGGGGCGCACGGCCGCCTCTGGGAGCTTTGCGGGGGCGCGGGCCCCGTGCAGCTCCACAGGGGGAGCATGGGCCGTGGTCTTCGGGGGCGATCTCGGACTGGGCCGGAATCCGCCGTCGGCGCCGGCGGTGTCACCGACGCCGCCCCGTCCTTGTCCTCCTGCTCCTCGCCCGTCCGTAGCCATTTTGGCCCCGCCGCAGAATACAAGAGCTTTTGTTTGGTTGTTCGCCTGCCCAGGTCAGTTCGCGGGAAGAAATGGCGAGGCCGATCAACCTCGCGGGGTGCGCGGCAGAGTTCCTCGGAATGTTCCTATTCGTGGCCTTCTGCTGCGGCACCGCCACCGGCGTCGCTGGGACCGGCGGGTGGGTACAGCAGGTGGCGCTGACGTTCGGGCTGTGCATCTTCGTGCTTGCGAGCGCCCTCGGGCGGTGGGGGCTCCAGTGCAACTTCGCGGTGACCTTCGGGCTCGCGGTCGCCACGTGCTTCGGCATCGGGGACATGGGGACCCACCAAGCGTTCGCGAACCTCGTCTTCCAGGTCCTCGGCTCGGTGGCCGGGGCTGCGCTGGTTGCGGCGATCAAGGACAAGGACAGCGATCTGACCGGGACTCTGGGCTCCAACATGATCGCGGATGACATCGGCATCGGGGAGGCGCTCGCAGGCGAGGCCCTGGGGACGTTCTTGCTTGTGTTCATGGTGATGCAGGCTGTCGTGGACAAGACGAAGAACGCCACGATGCCCCTGGCCATCGGCACGGCTGTCTACATCGCCCACTCCATTCTCATCCCGATCGACGGGTGCTCCATCAACCCGACCCGCTCCATCGGGCCCGCTCTTGTCTCGACGTTCCTCGGCAGGGTCAACGAGGAGGTCAGCGCCCAGATCTGGGGGGACATGTGGGTCTTCTGGATGGGCCCGCTCGGCGGCGCTCTCCTGGCGGTCCTCTCCCACGTGGCGATGCACTCGAATACGGACCGAGAGGGGATCAAAGCGAATTCAGTATGTTCATGCTCTGGCCGGTAGTGTGCATGTCGGAGCCGCCACAGAGTCACATTCGTGGCGGGGGATCAGGACATTTGGCGAGCATCCCCTGCCGCGCGCTTGTCCTTTCCACGTGCGCACCATATCATTCACTGCGTGGATCTCCCCATACGTGCATAGATTCGCATGGTCCTGTCTGTCTAGGCGTAAGAGTTTTCGAATATAAGCGGGCTTGAGTTGTGACGGTCTGGTCATGAATCTATTTGCGAATGAATTGGAGTGTGAATGAGTCTCAGTAGTACGAGCGCGTCTCTGCGAATGAGCCTGGGGCCTCCTGGGGCCTCGTAAAACCTCCTGGGGCTTCCTGGGGCCTCAAGGAGCCTCTTGGGGCCTCCTGGGGCCTCTTGGGGCTTCGAGTGGCCTCCTGAGGCCTCCTGGAGCGTCGCGTGGCCTCCTGGGACCTCCTGGAGCCTCCTGGGATTTCCTAGGGAAGAATCGTGCCCCAGGAGAGGCCCAATCTATAGGAACAGACGTACATGAAACATTGCGTATCGGAGCCGCAGGAAAAGGACAATATGTAGGGATTGGAGCCTCTCTTGCTGCCTTCTGAGGCCTCCTGCTGCTGGGGCCTCTCGAGGCCTCTTGTTGCCTTCTGGGGCCTCCTGAGGTCTCCTGGAGCTTCTTGGGGCCTCTTGGAGCCTCTTGGGACATCCTGTGGCCTCTTGCGTTTTCTGTGGCCTCCTGATGCCTCCTGGGACCTCATGTGGCCTCCTGGGGCCTCCTGGAGCCTGCTGGAGCCTCCTGTGGCATCCTTGGGAGAATCTGTGCCCACGAGTCTGGTCACCCAAACAGGCAAACCGATCGAGATATCCTCAACATCTGGCCCCCCTGGGGGGCGAACATGAGCGCCTCGCTCGAGACATCCTCCAAATCTGCTCCGAAAACGAAGGATGTTCGCGACCAGAACAGGCAAACCGCCTGAGACATCCGCACCATTTGGGCGCGAACGGAGGCCGTAGGCGTCCAAATAATAACAAGAACCCAATCTGAGGGTATGGGGGACGAGGAAACAGCTAGAGACATCCTCACAAAACGGCCACGAACGGGATCGTGAAAACACCCTTGGCGGCTTCACTTGGGGGTGCTGAAACCAGCGCCCCGCCTGAGACATCCTCAAACTTTGCTCTGATAGCCAAGGATGTTGAGACAGAACGCAGGCAAAATGCTTGAGACATCCCCACAACATTGCTGCGAACAGGACCATGAAAACATCAATGGCGGCTCCCTTTGGGGGTGCTGAAACCAGCGCCCCGCCTGAGGCATCCTCAGAATCTGCTCTGATAGCGAAGGATGTTGAGACAGAACGCAGGCAAACCGCCTGAGACATCCACACAAAATTGTTGCGAGCGGGGCCGTGAAAACACCAGTGGCGGCTCTCCTTGGGGGTGCTGAAACCGGCGCCCCGCCTGGGACATCCTCAGGATCTGCTCTGGTAGCCACGGATGTTGAGACACAAAATGTAGCCCGCCTGAGACATCCCCACAAAATTGCTGCGAACGGGACCGTGAAACCAACCCTGGCGGCTCCCCTTGGGGGTGCTGAAATCAGCGCCCCGCCTGAGGCATCCTCAGAGTCTGCTCTGGTAGCCAAGGATGTAGAGACACAAAACAGGCAAACCGCGTGAGACCTCCCCACGATATTGCTGCGAACGGGACCGTGAAAACACCCCTGGCGGCTCCCCTTGGAGGTGCGCCCCGCCTGAGACAAACTGACAATCTGTTGTGTTTTGAGTAAGTCAGACAATGAGAAGGTATGAGTATGAGTAGGTCTGGGTAGGAGAAAAACTGTGTACGAGTACGTGTGGGAACCAGTCTGATCATGAGTAAGTCTTGATATGAGTGAGTCTCAGCATGCGTAAGTCCGAGTATGAGTGAGTCTAAGTATGGGTAGGTCTGAGTATTCGTAAGTTCGTGTATGAGTAAGTCTGGGTATGCGTATATCCGAGCATGAGTAAGTCCAAGTGGGAGGAAACGAGCTGTACCGCAAATAATGTACACGAGTACGAGTGAGAGTGGGTATGACTATGACTGGGTTTTGATTTGAGCGGATGTGAGCTTACTGTGTCATGAAGAAGTCTGGGTATGAGTAAGTCTGTGTATGAGTAAGTCTGGGTATGAGGAGGATGAGGATGAGGAGGAGGTGGAGGAGAAGAAGAGGAGGAAGGAGCAGGAGGCATCCAATTAATTACAAGAACCCCATCTAAGGAGATGGGGAACAACAGACATGTGACAAACGTCTGCGCACGATGCTGCTGCGAAGAAGCAGCAACAGCAAACCACATCTTTCACCGTTCACAGTGTCTCTGACTTCAGGCTTGCAGGGTGTCCGAAACTCATCGTGCTTGGGTCACCGCGTAAACACGCTGCATCTGCGCAGCAGTCTGCGCAGCAGTCTGCGCAGCAGATGCGGCACGAGGGCACCCCCTGCAGGGGGGGAGTATACTGTACATAGCTTGAGCCGCGTACGCGCCTTGCTGTCTGGTCACAGCGCCCATGCCTGAAGTACATGTTGCATTTGATGTAGCGGTTGGAAAACGAAGCAATGCATGAAACAATGATGCCTACAATCACCTGGCTCAAGGGCAACATGTGCACAGATGTCCAGTGTCATCCTGATGTGCTGGTGTAGTTCTAGGTGCGTTTGATCCGTCTGTGTGGCAATTGGAGCGCCTGTCGGTGCAGCCGTCGGGCAGCAGTCGGAGAACATGTCGGTGCCGCTGTCGGTGCCGCTGTGAGTGCCCCAGTTGGTGCAGCGTCGGGGCAGCAGTCGGAGCAGTGTTCGGTGATGCGTTCAGTGTTGCAGGGGGCGCTGCAACACGTGCAGCCGTCGAGGAAGCAGTCGGTGAGGTGGTCGGTGGCGTTCTTGGTGCTGCGGTGGGCGCTGACGTCGGCACAGCCTTCGGGAAAGCTGCCAGAGGACTTGTCGGTGCCGCTGTTGGTGCTGCTGTGGGTGCGCTGGTAGGTGCAGCCGAGGCGCCGCCGTTAGTACTGATGTGGGGGCTGCTGTCAGTGCGGCCGTCGGGTTAGCAGTCGGAGACCTCGTCGGTGCCGCTATCGGCGTGGCCGTCAGTGCAGCAGTCGTAGGCCTTGTCGGTGCCGCCGTCGGAGCAGCAGTCGGAGACCCTGCCAGGGCAGCGTTCGGTGGGGCAGTTGGAGCGCTCGTTGGTGCAGCCGCCGCGACAACGGTCGGTGAACGTGTCGGTGCCGCTTTTGGTGATGCCATAGGTGCGCCTGTTGGTGCAGCCGTCATGGCAGCAGTCGGTGAACACTGTCGGGGACCTCGGCGGTGCCGCTGTCGGCGCGGCCGTTGGAGACCCTGTCTGGGCAGCAGCCGGTGTGGCAGTTGGAGCGCCCATTGATGCAGCCCTCTTGGCCGCAGTCGGTGAACTTGTCGGTGACTTGTGAGTGCCGTTGATGGTGCTAATCTTGGTGCTGTTGTCGGTGCAGCTGTCGGGGCAGCAGTCGGTGCGGTGAATGTGTTAGTGCAGTTGTCGTTGCTGCTATGAGCGTGCTTGTTGGTGCAGCCGTCGGATCAGCAATCGGTGACCTTGTAGGTGCCGCTGCTGGTGCTGCTGTGGTTGCTGCTGTCGGTGTAGTCTTCAAGGCAGCAGTCGGTGAACTTGTCGGTGACCTTGCCGGTGATGGTGAAGCTCTCGGTGCGGCCGTTTGAGCAGCAGTCGGAGACCTCGTCGGAGCCGCTGCCGGCGCGGCCTTCGGCGCAACAGTCGGAGACCTTGTCGGTGCCGCCGACGACAAGGCCGTCGGAGACTCTGTCGGGGCAGCACTCGGTGTGGCAGTTGAAGTGCCAGTTGGGGCAGCAGTCGGAGATCTTGTCAGTGCCGCTGGTGGTGATGCTGTGAGTGCGCCGCTGTTTTTGTGGACGTCCGTGCAGCGTTCGGAGACCTTGTCGATGCCGTTGTCGGCGCGGCCATCGTGGACCCTGTCGGGGAAACAGTCGGCGTGCCAGTTGGAGCGGTCGTAGGAGACCTTGTCGGGGCAGCAGACGGTGAATTAGTCGGTGCCGCTCTTGGTGCTGCTCTCGGTGCAGCCGTTGGGGCAGCAGTCGCTGAACTTGTTGGTGCCGTTGTCGGTGCCGGTCGTGGCAGCAGTCGGTGAATTGGCCAGTGCCGCTGTTCGTGGTGCTGTGGGTGCAGCCGTAGGGGCAGCAATCGGTGAAGTCGGTTACGCTGCTGGTGCTGCTCGTGGCGCTGCTTGTGCAGCCGTCGTGGCCGCAGTCGGTGAATTGATCGGTGCCGCTGTCAGTGGTGCTGCGGTTGCGGCCGTCGGCGCAGCAGTCGGACGCTTGTCGGTGCCATTGTAAGTGCCGCCGTCGGGGCGGCCGCCCGTGAAGTCGGTGAACTTGGCTTTGCCGCTGTTGCTTGTGCTGTGGGCGCGCCAGTTTGTGCAGCCGTCGGGGCAGCAGTCGGCGAATTCGTGAGTGCCGCTGCTGGTGCTGGTTTGGGATCTTCTGTCCCTGCAGCCTTTGGGGCGGCAGGCCCGGGCTCGTTGGTGCATCTGTCGTCTTACCTGTCGGCGCAGCCCTCGGCATATCCGTCAAGGTGCACAACGGCTCACCCGTCGGCACGGCTGCCGCAGTGACAGTCAGAATCGATGTCGATCCCATGCTTGGCGTACCTGTAGTGGACGTTGGCGCAGTGGTGGGCGAGCTTGTTGGTGCAGACATCGGCATCCATGCTGCGTACATGTCGGCGTGGATGGAGGTGCGCTTGCTGGTGCAACCATGGAAACTTGCTGATGCAATTCTGAAGCAAGTTCTGGAACACCATTTGCTACCTCGTTGTTCTGCACGGATCACCGTGTGCTGGTTGATCTCGCCGCAATCCTCTCGAGCTGAAAAAGGCCTCAACATTCGAATTTAGAGCGAGAGGAGATCAAATCGAATGTAGTAGTTTCATGTTTTGGACCGCAGTGTGCATTGCGCCGCTGCCACAGAGTCACACCCGTGGCGGGGGATCGGAGCATATGGTGAGCATCCGCTGCCGCGCGCCTGCCCGCGCCACATGAGCACTTCAAATAACAAACCTGAGACAAACGTCTACAAACAGTGTTGCCAAACAAGCAGCAACAGCAGCAGCAGCCGTAGAACACAACAGCCATGTTTTGATGTTGATCTGCCTGGGTCCTGTCCTGGGAGGCCATGGCGAGGTCGATCAACCTCGCGGGGTGCGCGGCAGAGTTCCTCGGGATGTTCCTATTCGTGGCTCTCTGCTGCGGCACCGCCACCGGCGTCGCGGGGACCAACGGGTGGGTACAGCAGGTGGCGCTGACGTTCGGGCTGTGCATCTTCGTGCTCGCGAGCGCCCTCGGGCGGTGGGGGCTCCAGTGCAACTTCGCGGTGACCTTCGGGCTCGCGGTTGCCACGTGCTTCGGCATCGGCGACATGGGGATCTTCCAGGCGTTCGCGAACCTCGTCTTCCAGGTCCTCGGCTCGGTGGCTGGGGCCGTAATGGTTGCAGCGATCAAGGGGAAGGACAGCGATCTGACCGGAACTTTGGGTTCCAACATGATCGCGGATGACATCGACATTGGGCAGGCGCTCGCAGGCGAGGTTCTGGGGACGTTTTTGCTTGTGTTCATGGTGATGCAGGCTGTCGTGGACAAGACGACGAACGTCACGATGCCCCTGGCCATCGGTACAGCTGTCTACATCGCCCACTCCTTCCTCATCCCGATCGACGGGTGCTCCATCAACCCGACCCGCTCCATCGGGCCCGCGCTCGTCTCGACGTACCTGCTCGGCAGGGTCACCGACGAGGTCAGCGCCCATATCTGGGGGGACATGTGGGTCTTCTGGGTGGGCCCACTCGGCGGCGCGCTCCTTGCGGTCCTCTGCCACGTGGCGATGCACACGATCCGGGGGCAGACCGACGCGGGGCAGGAGAAGGATGCTGGCGTGCTGAGCGAGAAGTGCGTCGACGCCACCAGCAAGGTGGGCCAGCAGTACGACATGGACCCCGCCCCCAAACAAAGCGCAATGGCGGAGGGCCAGGACAAGAGCGGAGCGGCCCAGCAGGCGACGGACGACATGGAACAGCAGCGCGCCAGCGGCTCCCAGGCGGCAGCGCGCGCGGCTTCCGCGCGGGGCCTGGAGGCCGTGCGAGCTGCCTCGGCCAGTGCCGTTGGCGGTGAGGCCGCTGCGCCCCTGTCCGGGGTGGTGCCCGGCCCGGCGCCCACCAGCCAGCACGCGTCGCCGGCGGCCCAGGGAGGCCTGTCCAGGTGCGCGGGTCTGCTGGCGGCCGCTGGCTGCACCCCGCCGTGGAGGGGCGAATGGGTGGCCGCGAAGGCCTCTTAGGGCGGCGGCGGCGAGGTAGGTAGACTATGTTTCGGATTCGGGCGAAGGGGTTCCTTGCAAAGGGGGGTCTCACAAATGTGCGCAGTAGTTCGTGCAATCGTTCGTGCAGGAAACGCACGTCGTACAATATCAGCACGTAGCTGCAATGCGCCACAGGATGAACTATTGCAGCGTGACCCCATGATGGAAGACCCCCTTTGCCCGGAACCACATGTCCGAGTGAGACAAGACGGCATGAACATAACCATGCGAAGCTCCGCCCGGATTTCCCCTGTGCGGCGCCCCTGGCGCGCTCCGCAGAGGAGACGGGCCCAGTGCCGGTCCGATAAATCCGCGCGGATCCTCGACAGTTTATATGCATGCCGTTGTTTGTTTCCCCATAGCTTCGGTCAGAGAGTTTTTTTTTGCCCCAGGAAACTCACGGCACACTGCTGTTCCCAGGACTGTGGGCTTTCATACTCTCAGAGCATTGGGCTTTTAGGTGACATCTGCGGAGCAGCTGCTCATGCACGCAATGCTCAGATTTATGAATCATGTCGGCTCTTCGCCACACCACCCCGTCCCGTTGCCCCGATTTGCGCGATGTTGGAGAGACGTCCGTTCGTATTGTTCGTTATGTGTGTTGCTGGTCGCAGGTGATGATGGTCGGTCATGCGTTCTATCATTTTCATGTGGAGGAGGAGGAGGAGGAGGAGGACGAGAGGAGAAGGACGACGACGACGAGGAGGAAGAGGATAGTAGCAGAGCTCATCGCCGTGGCCCAGTCACTGCAGGGCATTTTTTTGTTGTTCTCTCTCTCTCTCTCTCGTTGAGTGCGGAGCCTGCGGCGCAGCCCACGTCGCAATCCATTTTTGGGGCCCTTTCGAGGGTATCTTGGCGACCACTTGGGGGCATCGTTGGGACAAGTTTGGCGTCTTTCGGGACATCCTGCGGGGGATTGCTCCCTGGCCCCCTAGAAGTTCCCCTTCTTGAGCTTCTGTTGTCCTTCTTGGGGCCCACTTGAGGGCATTGATGGCCGTCTTGGGGGCCCCTTTGGGCAGTCTTTGGGCCCTCTTGGGCAGCAATCTCCAGGCCCTCCCAGACGCCTCTGCGGCCGACTTGAGCCAGTCTGCGGGGCCTTCACAGGCCATCCTGGGCTTCCCGAGTCTCGAAATCGGAAGAATGCGATTATCATGCAAAATGGTATGGGGCATCCGCAACTTGGGCATCTAGAAGCCGTATTGTGGGTCCTTCTGGGGCCCGCTTCTTGCGTCTCCCGTTTGGGCCGTCCTAAGGCCATCCTGGATGTTCTGGAGGCCTCTCTGGTACGATGGGCATCTTGGAGGCCGTGGAGGATGGATTTGGACGCTCCGAGGGCCCCTGGGGTGCGCCACAGAGCTCGTCGCCCCCCCCGCCTCCCCCTTATACGCAAGTGGATGCTGGGCCCCAGTGGACAGGGGGACAGGGGGAACGGGGGACAGCCAAGTGCCCAGACATGCGCGGTTCGTCGGGTTTATTTGTGCATGGTACTTGCGCGTGCTTGTTACGCATGCCCCCTTGGTCTGATCGTCATGCCTGCTGTTCGCAGGCCTCTCTGATATGTATATATATACATATACAGAGAGAGATAACCAACAAGAAATCAATGAGAGAGAAAGAGAGAGAGAGAGAGAGAGAGAAAGAGAGAGACAGACAGTTCGTGCGTGCGTGCGTCAGTCCGTGCGTGCGTGCGTGCGTGCCTGCGTGCCTGCGTGCGTGCGTGCGTGCGTGCGTGTGTGAGTGTGTGTGTGTGTGCGTGTGTGTGTGTTTATGTGTGTGTGGTGATGACAGAACTTTCCACAGTTTCCAAGGAGGGGGAGGCCATGCCCCGAACATGGTATATACTCGCGTCGGGATTCTGGGGTGGCATTGGAAGTGCTCGAGCCCGCCGTCTGTTGCACAAAGCGCGCTCAGAGATCAGACATCGTTTGGGCCGTCGGGATTGAGATTGGGCGCGCGCGCAGGGTCCCAAGAAAGCAACGCCGGCCACGAGACAGGCTAATCGACGTCGGGGCCTTGAGGCTCCACAGAGGCATGACATGGGGCATTACATGCGGCATGACATGATAACGATTGCGAACAAAAGGAGGACGAGGACTGAGAGGCGGACAGATGACTGCAGGGGTGGAGGAGGTGCGAATTCCGTGGGGGAGGTGGGAGAGTCTCAGGGTGTAGAGGGGAGGGGAGGTAGACGGGGGGAGGTGTTCTGCAGCCCAGAGCTGCACACGGAGAGCGGGTTTCAACGCAGGCGCCAACCAGAAAGGCGAACCTTCCAGTTTTTGTTTGTGTCAGCCGACAGCCGGCTGTTTCTTTCACATGCGAGCCAAACATGCCGCCTTCTCTCAGTGGGGCTTGCTCGCTTGGCAGCTGCTCTTGGCAACAAAAGTGAGAAAGTCGGCGCGGGGTGTAGCGGGAGACCTGGCAAGGATGTGTCAGGGCGGCAGGAGTGCAGGGGAGATGGACGGTGGGACAGGCATTTGAGTGGGGGAGGGGGAGCCAGGATAGGAAAAGGCGTAGAGGGGGAATGGGGTGGATGCGGGCCGTCCCCGACCCCATCCTGCCTCCTCCCCCCTGCCCTCCCCGCCCATCCTCCCTCACCGCGCCAGGGCGTCCACGGCAGACAACGTTGACCTGTCATGTTTCTGTTGTTTCTTGCCTCTCATGGACCTGTGCCTCCGCGCGCTGGCCCACCGTCGGCAGTTCCTGCCAGGGGTACGCGTCGAGACTCCCCGGGGGGGGCCAGGGCCAGGGACCCAAGGCCCACAGGGAGGGGGGCGGAGGCGGGGCCCCCACACCCACGCCCAGGAGGAGGAGGAGGAGGAGGAGGAGGAGGAGGAGGAGGAGGAGGAGGAGGAGGAGGAGGAGGAGGAGGAGGAGGAGGAGGAGGAGGAGGAGGAGGAGGGGGGCCCCCACACCCACGCCCAAACATGGACTCAGTGGCATCTGGCTCGCACCTGGGCTGCCGGGGTGTAATTCGGCGGAGAGCGAGGGGGGGAAATGAGAAGGAGAAGGCATTCTCAGAAGGCGGCGGGGTTTCTCGGAAGGCCTCGGGCCTTCTGAAAGGTTGTCTGAGTCTTCGGGGGAGGCTTAGAAAATTTCTCAGAAGGGTGGCGGACTTCCGAGCCTTATGAGAAGGCCCGCCCCTTCTCACTTCCCCCCCACCAGGCTCGCCGCCGAGTAACGGGGGGGAGGCGATAGATGGGGGGCCAGCCAGAGCTGCAGAAAAGGGGCCCTTTGGGGCCGAGGGCTCGAGGAGTGCACCTTCCTCCCCCCCCATTTAGTCGCCCTGCGCGAAGCGACGCCAAGCGGTGGTCGCACTCGAGCGGCGCTCCACCCGCCACGCGCTGGGGCAGGCGCCACGCGGCCCCTCCCTGCGGAGGGGGTGGTGTCGTCCGGCAGGCACTGGTAGCAGGGTTCAGCGCAGGCGGGGATCAGTCAGAGCGCCGGATTGTGCGGGGTCCTGCAGAGCTGGATTTGGGCTCAGCTCTCGCCGCCCTGGGGTCGGCCTTACGTGTTAGCAGTCTCTGCTTCTCTTTGCAGTGCAGCTGACGTCTGTCCAGATTGGCTGAGCTGGGTCTGAGCTGTGTCAGGTCAGTCCACGCCCGACGGGGGGCCCGATGTGGGAAGGACTCCTCCGCCTCGGCGCAGGGCGCTGGCCTGCAGGCCACCTGCCAGAAGGGGGCCAGGGAACCACACTGGCATGAACAGAACTTTTTCAGATTCGTACGATTTTTGGGAGGGATCGGCGATGGAACCCCCTGGCGGCGCCTCCAGCGCCGCCTGTGGTGCGTTCCGCGCCGATCCAAGAAGAAGCCCGCTCGGACCTCCATACTACAATGTGTAGTCATGTGCTGCTCCTCACATGGGGGAGTCAAATTAGTCAAAGCGTATTGTTTTACCATCCAGCGGAGCCCAGCGGCAAATGAGGACATAGAGGAGTAGGAGGAGGTGTGGAGGAGGAGGAACTTGACAGCATCCGTCGGATTCCCATGCCATCAGCTAAGAGCTGAGAGGAGGCGCAGGAGGAGGAGGAGGAGTATGAGGATGAGGAGGAGGAGAAGGTGGAGGATGAGGAGGATGGAGGGAGGGAGGGAGGGAGGTAGCAGGAGGAAGCAGGAGGAGGGAGCAGCAGGAGGAGGAGGTGGAGGATGAGGAGGAGGGAGGGAGAGAGGGAGGGAGGGAGCAGGAGGGAGCAGGAGGAGGGAGGAGCAGGAGGAGGAGGAGGAGGAAGATGAGGAGGGAGTCAAAGCACACACTGGACCACCCACCTGTGAGAATTACCTTCAACAGCCTGCGCCGTGCTGCCTGGCCGGGGAGAGTCGGCGCCATGACTGCGCAAAGCGTCCACCTTCGGTGCGAGCCGGCAAGGAACATCTAGAGGGCTATAGGCTATAGGAGGGCGAAGGGCCGATGCGGACCCAGACGATCGCGATGCACAACAAATCACGACGGGATTTGATTTGATGTGTTCGGCCTTCGGTGGCCCTCGCCGGGCCCTGGGACAGTCAAACAAGGAATCGGCATGAAAAACCGGTCATGGGTAAACTCAGGACATCGCATGCCTGGGGAGCGAGCAGGAGGCAAAGAGGAAGAGCAGCGCAGCGAAGGCTGGTGGGGACGATGAGGACGAATGTGAGGCGGAGGAGTAGGACAGTGAGGACGAGGAAGTTTAAGAGGAGGCGGAGGAGTGCGGAGTTGGAGGAGCGGGAGCAGGAGGAGTAGGCCACGGAAGAAGATGAGGTGGTGCGGATCTGCAGGACAGAAGGAGGAGAAGGAGGAGGAGCAGGAAGGATGAGGGGAGAATGCCGAGAAGGAGGCGGAGGAAAGGAATCAGAGCAGTTAGGACGAGGACAATGAGGAGATGACGATCTGGTGACCAGCGGTGCCGGCGGCGGCCATAGCTGAGGCGCGGTTGCCAACTGCCTTCCAAACCTCAGCGCGCAGTCGTACTCGGTGCCGAACTTGATCCAGCTGGTACTCCT